CTCCTCTCCTCTCACTGATCGAATGGCAAACGCGACCCACCGGCCCGGCCTAGTGCCGGTGCTCTGGCGGTCGGTTCCTCCGAACTGCGGGTTCGACTCTGATGGCCAGGAGGGTGTGCTGCGTTGGGGTGGGGGACTTCCCCCACTCTGCGTGTCTCTTCCTTCCCGGGCCAGCCGATATGAAGCGTGACCAAGACGCACCGTCTGACTCAGGGGTCCCACGGGTCCCGCAGCGGGGTGGATGTTCCCAGCTGGAACCTCCCCACCTCCGCCGCGGTGCACCCGGCAAACACGGTTGTTTCTCGAACCCTCCACTGTTGTCTAGCGGGTGTAACTAAAATACAAGATGTCGTATTTATATATATAAATAAATATATATCTTTATATACATATGTATATAATAAGTGTCAGTACGATTTTATTTTGTATTTGCGTGCATTTCCTGTTCGGAAAGTGGCACTGCGGCTGTACTGATAGTAACTACAATACAAGGTGTCCGTATATATCTATATATATACATATGTATATAATAAGCGGCACGATATGATTTTATTTTGCGTGCATTTCCTGTTTGGAAAGTGGCGCTGTACTGATAGTGGTGATTTTATTTTGGAATTCTTAGCGTGCACTTCCTGTCCTGAGAGTGGAGGTGTCCTCAGAGTGCAGGTGTCCTGAGACTGCTGCCTGTAGGCAGGCTCCCATGCCCCCGGCTGCGATCGGCTATTCTCGTCTACTTTTGAGGCAAGCCGCAGCTCGTCTCAAACAAGCCTAATCTTAATTGGGATAAATGGTTAGACTCTCTGTTGTTTGCAGTACAGTATGTGTCCTCCATGGGGTTTTCCCCTTTTGAATTATTATATGGAAGGAAGCCACAGGGTGTTGCGGACCTACTTAAGGAAAACGGGGAGGAGGGTCCGAAGAAATGGGCTAGAAATGGGTGTAATTGAAGAGTTGTCCCATCATGCCAGTATGTAAATCCGGCTGGTGGATTTGTGTGTCAGTCAAGGAAATCTTGGCCGGCAGCCATGTTGGTCTGAAATGACCAATGGACAAATCACTAAGGAACTACCCACCAAGAAAAAGAAAAAAAAACACCTGTCTCGCATCAGTTTAAATCTGGGAGAAAGAGAGAGAGAGAAAACGCCTAAACATTTTTTACAGTTCCCGACACACTAAAGATTATTTTCCGTAGCAGTAGTGAACATGGAGCATCAGAGGCTAAAGGCTTCGACTCTTCTGAAGAAGAAGAATACAGGGACAACAACAAGGATCCATTTGAACATGGGTAAGTGTAAATATTACAGTAATAGTGCACTAGCACTTTGTGGGGGATACTGCGAAAATGAACAATAGGTTTATTGATCCATTTTTTTTCCCAAGTCATGTACGGTTTCTTGAGACAAAATAGACTCCCACTTAGCCAACTTGAGTCATGAGTAAATCTGTGCTTTCAAAAGAGTTTTGAAGATTCCCAAAAATCGGATGTCAAATGTTCAGCTTTAGAGCTAATTATCTCATCATACAGTGCTCTCAGGGTAGTGACTTGCATGTCTAGCAATACCAGAGACTGTAGTGAACATTTTGATATGTAACACATGGGCATGCCTTGAGACCTCAGAAATCGGGGGCATTTCAAAACCACCGCGGGAGGGGGGGGATGTGCTAGTGGATCTCCGGAGCTGTTAGATTAACATTAATGCGGCCTGTAGCACCGTCCTTGATGGAGCATATGTGTGGGCTGGACCTGTATTTTACAGGAAAGGAGTGAGCAGAGGGTCGAGTTGTCGATTCTTGTTCCGTTTTCTGTGACTATCTGCCTCACCCTCTCAGACTTTCAGTTGCGCGCACTACTAAAGAGACGCGCTACCATGGAAACCAAACAATGGTGTAGCTGTATTAAAGTCAGAGTGGAAACAGTCGTGAGTAAATCTGATTTTGTCAGAAATCGGGAGAAATGCGGGAGAAATATGACCCCGGGAGGAAACCGGGAGAGGGCAATGAAATCGGGAGTCTCCCGCGAAAATCGGGAGGGTTGGCAAGTATGAGTCCAGGGTATTCTGTGAATACCTTGAAGGCCCTGACGGTTCGCCACTGCTAAAGACTCAGAGAGAAATCAGGTTTTTCTGCTATCCATGTCATCACTTCTACTATCAAAGTCTCTTGCCTTTCTTTGATTCGATTGATTTTGGCGTTGGACACTAGCCAAGGAATTGCAGAAACCTTTCCAGGTCTTCCAGGTTAAACATTTCCATTTGCGTCTTCGTGTAACTTACAATTCTTCTTCGCCCTAGGATGTTTTGACACTCCTACTCGCATGTTGGACAAAGATCGACCCTTATCACACACATGATGTATCAGACATGATTTGGATTTGTATTAGGAAGCTGTTGGGTAAAGTCTGTTTAATATCTAGTCCAAATGATTCGGACATTTTCACATTTCACATACATCTTCTCTGGTTAATGTCCAGATAACTTCAGGGTTGCACTTGTGTGAAAGAGACTACACAGTCCGACTCATTCTGACAATTCACCATGTTTAGAAGCATGAATATCCATGAACACAAACACACCGCTGTGCATTGTGTTGACTCAGCCGTGCTCAATAACAAACCTGCAATGTTGTCTAGACCAGCGCTTCTCACCTCCTCCACTTCTTCTGTCCGGTGGCAAGACTTTCATATCAGCGATGAGTATTGTTTCTGACTGTGTCAATGTTTTGGATGGCAGTACATTCTGTATCTCTCATATTCAGATTTGTGATCAGCTCTATCGAAATCAGTCGGATGTCGCAACGTTGCATTTCGAGATAATCATTGGTTTATGTCCAAATGTGTGTTCGATGATTTTGGGGTTTTGGTTTATTCTAGACAAAAGTCTTGGCTTTCTGAATATCATACTTTTATTGCTATTTTCCCACATAAACATGTTTTGGAGGCTTGTAAAGAAAGCCCCCTCTTAAAATAACTATGGCTCGAACGTGTCGGCAAACTTTCAAACGCCTTTTTCTCTCTTGATAACATTCCTTATGTTATTTGAAACATTTTCATGAATATTTTAAAACCATAAGCAATAGGGATATCACTGGAAAGCTAAGAATCTCCTCTTTCCTACGGTGTATGTAACTGTATGACATGATGTGGTACAGGGTCGATGTGACTGATTCTGATAGAGCGGCTCACATTTATCCTCTCCAAGGGACTTAGTTAGTGAATGCTTTATGTACAGCGTGTCCATGTTGCTTCCATTTCTAGTGCATTCCTTAACCTTTATGCTTGATATTAAGAAGGTTACATTGAAATTGCACCGCTCTTACACAGCTGTAATAAAACAAATTAGTGAAAATGATCAATGAGATTAAGGACAGCAGCTTCGAGTCCCAGGAATTTGCTCCAGCCACCCCCGTGTACAAACTCATTAAAGGAGTCATAAAGGCGACTAATGAAAATCATGACCGGTATCATTACAAGCCCACTGGTGTCCTCTCGCGAGCGGGAGAATAAAGGAGGCTAAATTAATGTTCCCACCAATAATGTTAAAAAGCCAGCGCCATCCTTTAAGCAGTGTCTGTTCTACTCTGTGTGTAGAGCCAACTCAATTAAAGTTCAAGCCAATATTGTTACGTAACCATTTAACACTCTGCCTCTTTGTTCCCTTTTGTCATTTTTTTTTTTTTATAGGATGATGACTCCATGTTCTTTCAATTCGGCCCGTCCATCGAGCAGCAGGCCTCGGTCATGCTGAACATCATGAAGGCTTACGACTGGTACATCTTCTCCATCGTCACCACATACTACCCGGGGTACCAGGACTTTGTCACCAAGGTAAAATCACTCGGAAAGACAGCATATAGTCAGGATGTACATGAAGAATCACACAGGACAGGACAGCAAAGAGTTTCTCTGTAAAAGTACATATAGTTATAGAGACAGGTTTGTTAAACCTTCAGCATTCGGTACGACCCCCACAATCAAGCTCTAACAATTTCCAATTAGTCTATGTTAGTGTGATCAGTTTGGTACCTTAAAGTGGACCTATCATGCTATATTTGAATAATATAGTGTAGGACCATACCTATATAAGGAATATTTATACTTTTTATTTTTCAAAATACCAAACAGATCATGCATTTTAGCCATTCCTCATTTCGCTCAATTTAACACTGTCTTTGCATGGGCTGATTCTGTGAGAACAGCACCATCTACAGGCCTGGCATATGTACTACAGCGTCTCCAGCGCTTTCGAACTGCAATGTCCGTGGCTGTCTCCTCCTGATTGGTGGAGTTGGCCCAATAGCCGTAGCGCCACTTCTGTGACGTCATAGAAGTTTTGAAATCCGGACCAGTCTGTATCAGATCCGTTGCAGCCCCTTTTTAAGAGATTTGGGTATGGAGGAAAATAGAGAGGGTTGTGTTTTCTGACACTTGGTGAGTTCCCTGGAACACAGGGGACACATATTCATGTAGAAAATACGTACAAAAGTGCATTTTGCAGGATAGGTCCCCTTTAATATTTGATTCAATTTCTTTTATCAGATTCATAGTTATCCCATGGAAATTGGGTTTTCGTCATAGTTGCTCTACTTTGGAATAAAATCAAATAATAGAAACGGAATAACAAATATTTACATGAACACAATAAGTTCTGTTAAAGTTAAAGTAAGTATATGAAATAAAATAGAGATATTTATATCAAAATAAAAAGTTAATGGAAACATGTGCACATTTTACTACAATATATATATTCTAGATTACAATAAATACAGTGGTGCATTAGTATTACTAAGATATTAATGCTGGCTTGAACAGTTTGAAAGGTAGTTAATACTAAGAGACACAATGCGTTTAAAATTAATTCTAGATTCAAATCAATATCTCTTGACAAAACTTTGAGTGTTGATGTGCAGCATAACAACGTTTTAAACCTCTTGATCTTTTGTGAATCGATTCAAAATCTTACAAGATAAGAAACTCAATTTTTCAACCCTGCATTTTGCATTTAATTAAGTACCAGTCCCTCTCTTCTGATCCATGTCTTCTCCCTGCAGATCCGTAGCACCATCGAGAACAGCTTTGTGGGCTGGGAGCTGGAGGAGGTCATACTGCTCGACATGTCCGTGGATGACGGAGATTCAAAGATCCAGAACCAGCTGAAGAAGCTCCAGAGCCCCGTCATCCTCCTCTACTGCACAAAGGAGGAGGCCAACACCATCTTCGAGGTGTCGCACTCTGTCGGGATCACCGGATACGGCTACACATGGATAGTGCCCTCTCTGGTAGCTGGAGACACTATTGTAGTGCCTGCAGAGTTCCCTACAGGTAGGACATCGCTACTCAAATGCTATTCTTAAAGGTCCCCTATTATACTGTTCTTCATCAATATATTATAGGTCTCAGATATATACAA